TCACAGCGTCGTCGTGGGCGTCCGCCAAAGCGCATCCGCAGCTCAGCACATACAAGTGCATGGTCGGTGCCCACACATGTGCTCCAAATTGAGCGACAGTTCTGGACGCAGCCTCTCCATTGGTAACTTATCGCAATGTGCGTCCAAGGTTGGTTCGGCGTTGGTGGGCGCCAAATCATCCTCCGGCGGGTGCTGTGTCGGAAATTAGTGCTCGCAAGAAATAAGCGAACATCTTCACACAACTGAAATAACCGCTCACCGTTATCATTACGGGAGTCTACAGCATGTTGGCCGCCCAGATTCAGTTCATCGGTCTATACTTATCTAACTTGAGCGTTCTGATCCCCAGCCAACACTACAGTGTCCGATCTTTTCTTTGTCGAAGGAGCTCGTTCAGTTGGCGATAGAAGTCGTCTTTTACCGAATCATCACTACAGTTTGTGGGTGCGTAAGCAGCGATGATGAATAGACAATTCTTAGTCCCGTGCGGTTTCGAAGCTTTGAACGAGTCACGCAATGGGACCGCATACAACCGGCTACTAATTGGAATCCAATCAACCAGAGCAGCTTCAGCCCGGGGACTCAGGGCAATACCAATACCGGCTTAGCCGGTGCTCGAGACTGCATCGTCACCGGATAGGCGCAATGAGAAAGTGGTGCTGGTGTCACCTGAAAGGGATCGCAAAGTGAGAACAGAGCTGCTCTGGCAGGCGAGTCTCCGATAAGCAGCAGATATCGATTGAGTAGGTCTCTAAAATTCGGGCAAGTAGTGCCTGTTGGCCGATCTGTAGTAATGTGTGTACATTGAGGCATGCCAATCTGAAGGAGGATCGAGGGCTCCAAGTGGAAGCCGATGAACTGGGGTGGACCGCTTGGTTGGACATGGGCTTGTCGACAGGACAGGAGTAATGCTCAGCGTTCACTTGTGAGTTGAAAGTAGAAGATAAAAGCCTAGCAAAGTATGTTGGGTGAGGGCCAAGAATTGGTGAGTTAAAAACTGAGGAGATAAAAGTGAAGTTGGAACGGGACCATAAGGGAGAAAAGGCGTAAGAGATGGGAATAAGGCGGGAAGACTTGAGCAGTAGCATCCAATCCCCTATGCAATGTGCTCGATGCAGCGGATAGGGCATCGTTGATTGTCCTCTGCCGTGGCCAGGGCATCAAGAAATTGTTTGACGAACGATTCATAATATTGCGTGGGCAGGATACTGTCAGGCTGCCCAGGCATAGACAGAAGAACGATTAGGGTTCTCAACCAAAGCCTTTGGTTCAAAATCTGATCGCAAGGCAGCGGGTTTGGCGTTGGGCTACAAGGAGTCCGTTTTAAGGAATAAAGCGCCACCCTTATTCCAACTCCAAACATGGAAGACCAGGAGGCTGAGTTTGTCTGGCCTCTCACTATTGACCAATTTGGTATTGAGTGGCTCTGAAGGTGCAAAATAGCACCACCCAGCATAGCTCACTGAAGCTCTGAAGCACGCAAACCATCGCACCTCGGTAAAGTCCAGCCTCATTGTGATGGGGACCAAGTACTGGCCATTGCGAAACACCGCTAGTCATGAGCACATGAGCAAAGTTGGCTTCTTTCATCTTGACTCGCTTGGTCCAGACATCCAAGAAAGGACATTCTCAGCAACTTTCGTACCGCGAAGTTTGAGTGGGAGCCTTTCATGGGGACCTTTCCAAACGTCAAACTTGCACAGTGCGGACGTTAGGCAGATAGGTCTATAGTTGACAGCATTTTGACGATCCCCTTCTTTGCATATAGATGTAACATTTCCCAATTTCCAAGCAATCGGGAGTCCTCCAGCTTCAAAGGAGTACCGAAATATCTGCCAGACGGGAGTGGCAATGTAGTCGGCCACTGTCTTGAGGAACAGAGGATGCTCCCCATCAGGACCTGGCGAGGCGTTCGGATATCATTCACAAATGCCTTTGGCAACAACCAATACTTCTTTCTACATGTTACGACGGGGAGGGGTGGATTGTTTCCGTGTCACTGGGTCGTAGCGTCTTTATCAAGTGAGCGGATGAATACTGCAGTGACAGTAGACTGGCTTTCGCCACATCGTCGCCGAGTAAACTCACCTGCTCCGAGGGAAACTAGGCAGGAATGCCACTGTCAGCTCTGGTAATTCTTTTTAGGTAAGAGTATGGTACCTTCGGTGTCGTCATGGGTTGCACAGACAAACTGAGTTCATGCTGATGCTGTTTCTGACATTTCTTCAAGGTACAGGCATTTCAGCTCACTTTGTACTCCGAATACCCGAACGCGCAGTGAGTGAGTTTGAATTGGTCCCATAATTCAAGTCTTTTGGTCATTAAACACCTCTATTCTCGGTATGTCCATTGAGAGCCTCTGGTAAACGTTCTCCCTTTGCAGGTACGAACGACCTGCTCAACAAGCGAAATCATCTTGGTGCACAAAAGGTTCCACTCTTCATGTAGCAGCTTAAGAACTTGCGTTTCCACCGCAGTAAATTCAGTTAAATAAGTACTCTCAGGGGACAAGTTCAACGTTAGTTAACGCGGCCTTAATTACCAAGGTTACTGCATACTGCTCACCAAGTAAACGATTCTTTTCAGAGTCTGCATACGCATAATTTCCATCTATAGAGTTGACTGAGTGATAGTGAACTTCTGAAGGTGTGATTACTCACAGTCAGGTAACAATTGGGACAAATTAGCGAACGGGTGCCTCTTGCGTACTTGTCTGACGGCACTGACGGAGAATCTAAGGCTGATCCGTAAACGGAGATCCCACGACCCTTGACAAAACATACACAACCCAAATCGGCACAGTGTCACCCATACCAGATGATGAAATTCGAAGAAGTGTTTGTCTGGGACGTGAGTCGAAACAAATGTACAATAAATGACGGAAAATAGAATAGAACTTATAAACACTACACATCGGCCCGCATCAAAGTTGGAATTGCCGAATTTGAACCACAGCGCCTCTTGACATATGCGGATTTTCCATCAGCCAAATCCTTTTCGTACAGCAGCCGAGCTTTCCTCAACTTTTGTTTACATGTATTTCTAGCCTCGCGGTACCCATCATAAGTGCTCGTTGATGGAGCGGCTCGGTAAGTCCTCCAGCATCTAACACGATTCTGGAGCGGCCACTTGCCAGTGGTATCTATCGATAGGGGCCGTGCTCGTGTCTCTTTTCTCCTCGCAAGCGGGAGTAGCCACTTCCGTGTGATAGGACTTAAATTTATCTCAGGCTGCCTGAACTGTATCGGCCACCGAGATTTCGCAACGTAAACCCGAAGCCTTGGTACGCATTGCTTGACAGTTCGTATGCCATATCTTGGGATATGGCTCAGCGATACTCTGGTGACGTCTGGACGGAACACAGCTGCAGGATAAATAGACGTGATCACTGGCACCTAAGGGAGGGCCGTAAGCGATCTCATCCACGAAGTCTAGTGACTTGACAAAAACAAGGTCCAAAATCGGCGGTACTTAGACATCCATGTACCTAGTTGGGAGGTCTACAAACTGAAGCAACGGTACTTGTGACGTAAGCTCAAGGAGATATACACCGAAGGTACCTGACGCCGAGGTGCAAGTAAGATCTGCCCAGGAAACTTTCGGTAAGTCGACATCACCCAATATCAAACACCTGTTTGTGGATTGAGAGCGAGTAAATTCTAGCACTTTTATGGATGCACTACTATACAAAATTACAACTGTAACTTGTGTCAAGGAAGTGCTTATCCCTACCGACAGTTTTGTCTACCGACCAAAACATGTTCATCTGCAAAACATCTTGCAAATCTTATCGCTACTGACTCGCTGGCTTATGACAAATACTGCCATACTTGATTGATCCGCATGACGGAAAGCGCTGAGACTTCATCGCCCATAATGTATGCATTAAACAACCCTTATGAAAAATATTTCTTACGCAGCTGATGGCCTATTTACGATTTTGCAACACCGACACAGAGCCAGTTGGAGCATGGGTGCGGGTGAAACCCATCGAGGGAATACCTTGCATGGAAGCACATCCTCTGGGGACAGTTCCACGGAGGGCTGTATTACTTTACGTGAACCTTACGTGAAGTCTACATTTTTCTATTGTTCCCAGTGTCTTAATCCCTCTAATGCTTTCAAACTGCTAATCACTTCAGTGGGGATTCCGCTCGAGTCGCAGCACTATAGATATGGTGTTTGCGGCTCGTCAGTTGCAGGAGAAGTGCAGAGAACGATATCAGCCATGTTACTCGCTTTCTGTTGATTTCACCAAGGCATTTGATACGGTGAACCGCGAGTCATTGTGGCTGGTGTTGGGTAAGTTTGGTTGCCCGCGTAAGTTTGTAAGTTTAATTGAATGTCTGCACAATGGTATGCGAGCGAGGGTGCAGCTGAGTGGTGAGACCTCGGATGACTTTGCAGTTGTCTCTTGTGTGAAGCAAGGCTGTGTCTTAGCTCCTGCCCTGTTTAATATATATCTTCATGCAATTTTGTCCTGTGCTTTTGATGTCGCTTGTGCTTACGGTGTTCGTGGGGAGCACCGTATTGATGGTTGGGTTGCTGAACATCCGTCGTTTCGGTGCGAGAACTCTGTGAGACAACTATCCGTATGTTACTGTTTGCTGACGACTGTGCGTTGTTTGCACACAGCGCGGATGAGTTGCAACACATGACTAGTGCTCTGGCTTCGACAGCGGCAAAATTCAGGCTCACCATCAACACAAGCAAAACTGTCTGTCTCTTTCAGCCTTCACCGGAGGTGCAATCTTCAATATTGCCGCGAATCAGCATTGGTGATGAAGTATTAGAAACCACCTCCCGCTTTTGCTACCTTGGGAGTGTGATGTCGACTGATCAGCAGCTACACAGTGAGCTGCGTATCCGCGTGTCGAAGGCAGTGGCGGCATTCGGGAAGCTTGAGTACCGAGTGTGGAACAACCATCAGCTTACCGTTGGTACGAAGCTGATGGTGTACAAATCCATGGTACTGTCCGTTCTTCTATACGGCAGTGGAACGTGGACGATGTACCGGGTGGATGTGCGATATCTCGAGCGGTTCCGTCAGCAGTGTCTGCGACGGATTTTGCGCATCGGCTGGGGCGACAGAGTTGCAGACACGGAAGTTTTGCGTCGAAGTGGGATGTATGCAGTGGACTGCATACTTTTATTGAGACACCTGAGGTGGATCGGTCATGTGAGCCGTATGGATTCGACGTGGATACCGAAACAATTCTTATATGGTCAGCTGAGTGTTGGGAAGCGGCATGTGGGGAAACCAAAGTTACGTTACCAGGACATGATCAAAGTGAGTCTCTCACGTTCTAATCTTGATTGCAGGTCATGGGAATCGAAGGCGATTGATCGTGGTTCATGGCGCGATCTAATCACGAAGGCAGTTGCTGAAGTGCGGCAGAAAGCCCTCATGCTTGCAGAGAAGAAGCGGCAAGCACCGATGGGTTGTACTCCATCGACATCGAGCGCATGGTGCTGTAGAACATGCGGTTGCGAGTGCCTGAGTCAAGGAAGCCTAGTGAGCCATGAGCGAGGCCACTCGGGACCACTGCCGAAGCGACGACGGGTCCTGCAGAGAACGTAGGCAGAACCGGCGCAGCGTTTGTAGGTACGCTGCATTCGATTTACTAACCGCGTGCTTGCATGCTAACTTTCCTTATTTCAGGTGATGAGTTTGCAATTTTGTTTTAATGCTTTTCTTTCTCATATAAATGTCTACCTGTACTCTCTTCTATAAACTTGCACACTTCGCTTAAGCCAAATGTAGTTAATTTGATAACCTTTTCGTGTTTGTGGCATTTCCGTAAAATATACTTTCTGATCTCGGGAATTTATCTCGGATTCTTTTGTAAATGACTTATTCAATATGCTCATTAATTTAAGATTTAGGCCATAGTTTCCTTATACATTACTCGATTTATTTTCTTTGTTATCTTTCTCTCAAGTGATTGGCTGTTGTTTTACATCATCGGTGTGGCTGCACTTGATGTACATGTTGACAAGATGCCTACCTGTCAGTTACCCACTATCTCGTCCATACTGGCTCTGGGAGACAGTTGGTCGTTGCTGGAGGGAACGGGGTGCACGGTCCTTGTGGCCATGTTCGGATCAAAGTGTGGTTCCATGCACTCAGTGTGGAGTGGACCAGCGTGCTTGTGTTTGCCTGTGAAGGAGTGTGGGCCGGCTCCGTTGATGTAACCTGGCTCCCATCCACATGCCTCCCGGTCTTATTCCTTCGGGTTTACACTGGGTATGGGGTATGTGGATGGAGGTGTGGGTGGTGCGGCGCAAGCCACCCATGGTCCCTCTGTAGACGCAGGCGTCCTGTGGCTGGCCACAGTGACAGGCAAATCCGAAACCGGATGCCGCCAACCAGATATATATATATATATATATATATATATATATATATATGTATGTATGTATGTATTCACAGTTAACATTAAGCGATAGGCCCTTTCGTAGTCGGTCAACGAAGCGATCACATCCAAATAGTGCGTAGCCAGACAGATGTACTTCCCCGTCCTTGATGTCTTGAGACAGCAACATTTCGGTGAATGCGTGTGTATCAGGATGGGAGCCATCTGCAAGTAGACCTATCTCACACATTGCTGAGCACTATCTGAAGGCATTCGTAGTGTTCAGACCTGCATTGTGCGCCACCAGACCTGGCACTGGCAAGTCGGAAAAGGACCACCGGCTAATCACCTGACAACCCACCATCCGGAGATCTTGTTCACCGGCCGCTCGCCTGCTTGTGAGGTTCTCGATAGTCTCTTTTAGCTTCAGCCTCTCCGCTGGCGAGAGATCTGGCTAATTGCTAACTTTGGAAATCTTCACTTTGAAACCGAACCTCAACAGCGCGTTGCGTTTTTTCGGGGTGGGTAGGACCACACGAAGCAAGTGCTGTCGATGATTTGGCATGCTAACCGGGACGTTACCCAATCTAGTCAGCTTCCTGACAGTAACTTAGGGAGACGCAGGCGGAAGAAGCGTCGTTACACCCATTGTAAACCACTGAATGTCTCCCAACATGCGTTCAGAAAGAAAGGCGGCAGTGGATTCCACGCGTTACGGAATATCATGCTGCAATCCATAAAATAATCACTTCGACCGGTTTTTGTATGCACATGAACAGCAGTCGGTTTTGCCGCAGGCGATATGACCATGTGCACTTTATCAGACTACGCTGAAGCAACTGCCGTGTACCTCTTTTGCTGGCTTCTTCAACTCATCGTTCTTGAAACTTTTCAAACTGACCTGATGATTTCGGGCAGTTCTGTTCCGCTTTTTCCTTTGTCCAACGAGCGAAGCGGTCCGTGGCTCAACGTTGATGGCATCCTCCACGAAATGTACCCTCAGATGAATGGTGTAGTGTTTGAGTAGTTACCTTGACACATACGACAACCAGCTTAGCACGCGATGACGACATCTGGTGCATTGCACCCGCTGCTTGCACAGCCTTATATGAAACCTTGGTTACGGGCTTATGCGATTTTTCAGTCCTCTTTCGTCACAATTCAGCCGGTTTGTTGGCCAGCAATTTAGCATCTTTTTAAGTAGACCCAGAAATGTAGTCCGTTTATCATTCAGATTTTCTTCAACGGTTGCTTTTGACACGAAACCTGGTACTACCGGTTGACCGTTTGGCTTCCTCAGGCTGACATCACTGGAGACCACAAGTGTCTCTATCAACCAGTCTATCTTACGATCGAGAGTGGTGACCACAGTAGTGACTACTGTGACTAAAGTCTCTAAACTTTGCAGTCTGGCATCAAGAATTTTTACGTCTCTACCGAGGAAACCCGGACGACTTTGCCGGCCTCCACGATAACTGACGCAGATGAAAAGCACACAATTGCTGGTAGATTGCTTGAGGTATTGTTCAACAGTCAAGTTGCTGCACTGCTGCTGATACCAGCGGTTGCAGTCATCGCACTGCTTACCGCCAGGATCGTCAGTCACCTACAAGTCCCAGCTTTTGCTCCCGAAAGCGGCACTAGCCTACACACGCGCTTGGGTACATAATGAGACGGACAGCAGAATTGTACCATGTGTTCGCAGTAAAACGGCGATCAGCAACAAGGTGAAACTGGTTGTACTCAGAAAAACCGAAACCTTCGAGTTTCCGCAGTTTAAGTTATAAGGTACACGGATGGCTGTGTTTTGTCCCGGAGGAGGCACAGCAGTATTCCAGCTGTGACCGAACGAAAGCTGAAAACAATTTCACAAACATGTCGCCCGTGAAGCTTTCGTTTGAGTGGCGTACTAACCACAACATACGGAACTCTTTAATTGCGGTCTTCTTTTAGTTGTCGCCCCAGTGTGAAGTCGAAGTGTGTACGACTCCTAGCTCAACCTGGGTTGATACACGGGGAAGTTCGGCATCGTTGACTAATACCACGAAGGTGGACAACTTACGCTAATTGACGGGCAGTGCACGTTGCCTGATTTTTGAAAAGTGGTATCAAAATGTACCAATCCCAAAGCTTATCCAAGGCACGCTGAGTAGCCTCAGGAACATCGACAGCATTCCACAGCTTCAGGTCATCAGCAAATAGTAGGGATGAAACCTCAGTATCTACGCGTAGGTCGTTCACATAGACTGAGAAGAATAATGGTTCAAGGAGAGCCTTGCAGTACGCCACTGAGGACAGACTTCCTAAACGATAAACTGCGGCGAACCTGTGCGCCCTGTTCTGTACAATTCACAAATTCATTCATCTGATTTACTGTAAGATGTTAGCTTCACGCAAGTCTCAAATTGGGTACCGTGTCAAATGCCATCGAAAGCACATCCAATGCGTGGCCGTTGTCCACTGCAGCAGACCAAATCGCGAGCTACCAATAGATTCGTCACACGAAAATTCGATGAATCTCTCATCAGTTTCTCGAGATGTTTGACTACCACACTCGTCAAAATAACTGACCCGTAATTAACAGACTGAATCGTGTCGTTTTTGTTGAAAAAAAAGAAAAGAGTCATCTGCTATACACCTTCAAGCTGTGCTGAATCTTCGCTGCCACTCGACTACTACCGGTCGCGCCGGGACTGTGTATACCTCGAGGACGCCCCTACTCGGATTCGAACCGGCAACCTAAGGATTGTAAACCAGGCGTGCAATCCTTTCTGCCACTGGCCGACAGATTACAGCTTCCCTCCATCCGGAAGGTAATGCACAGCTGTCAAGTGATTTCTGAAACACTATTTCGTGCGGTCTACTTAATTCCCTTGCAAAATGCTGTGGCAGCTTCGGGTAAATTTAGTCAAGCCCAGATGGGATCAGCCCTTATTGCAGCCTACGGACTTCTGTCTCCAGTACAATAAATTCACCGAGACACAAACCCTGAAGGACTCTGGAAACCAGCTAAACATCTGTCAACGAGGTTTCTCTTGCAAACGCTGCTGCACACTGCCCTCCAAGTACTCTCCTTGTCATAGTCCTTATGGTCATGAGTACCGTCAGCTCGCATCAATGTTGAAATTAACTAGTTTGAATCGCGGCGTTTTTTGACGTATTTAAGGAACATTTTTGGGTTCTCTAAGGCTCCATCTACTAGACTCTTCTCGAACATGAGCCGAGCCTTTTAGGTGTGGCTTATGCCTATTTCTAGCCTTACAGTACCGGTGGCTGGAGGGTCTCGTTAAATGCGCCAGCATTTAGACCTCTTTGTTAGCAGGTGCCGATCAGTAGAATATATACAGACGGTTGTGCTCTTGCCTCTTTTATCTTCGTGGCGGTGATGAAGGAAGCATGAACCACTGTGGGGTATGGCTTAACTTTATACCGTGCGACATGGACACTGCTGTATTCGCTAACTGACAATACCGCCTTCTCGCACTGATTGTAGGAACGTTTGTCCATTCATCGTTAACACACGTTATGCCTGTAAAGTGACGAGTCATCGGCAGAATAGACTTTCCACGTTCATCGTGCGTTCTGATTACAGTTCGTGTGGGTTCGTGGTACTGCGGCAGATGCTTATTTGCAGATAGACTGTGCGCTTCCTGGGACATAACATTGGCATCGCGGCTACGAACCGCTGCAATGGCATTTCATCTACCACATCTGGACGCTTTCTGTTATGATGCCATTGTTAAACTCAATGAAAGCGATTGAGCTCAGTGGAAACTTCTACAAATTATTTTGAATTACTACCGTCTACTACTGCTTACACTGAAGATCATAGTTGTATTTTCTTCGTCATCCGTTAGGCAGTGAAGACAAACGGTATTTTGACGCATTGGAAGCAGGACACGCTTACAAAGGCATTGGATGTATTGGATCGATCTTGGAGTGCCGGACCCAGTGATTTCGTAGAACCTACAAATTCTGCCATTTGAGGCAAGAAGATTCAGAGCCATTGACGTACTTCATTTCCCACTTGATCCATGCCGTAACAACCTGTGATTACGGCAGCATCCCGAAGCCTAAATTTGAGGGGGTTATGTTGACCCAGCAGTTAACGGCGCGCGTCTTTGATTATCACGTATGAGAAGCTCTACGTTCCGAAGATCATTCGAAGCTTTCCTGGGACAAAGTCATATGGATCACCAGGCTCAAGACAGCTAAGCTCGAGCACTCGCGCTTGTTCAACACGAGTGAAACACTTGACATCAGTAAACTTCAGAACAAAGCTTCCGCGCCATTTCAAAATGTGGATGTTTTGTGTGATCGATGTGGAAAGCCTCATCACAAAGCGGACTGCCAAAGTGTCCGGCCCGCACAGCAGATTGTAGAAATTGTGGCAAACGGGGCCATTTCACCCGATGTTGTCTCTCTCACCGACTAGCCTTCATCATTATCATCATCAGTACACGTTAGCTGAGGGTGAGAAATACACCTCAGCTAATGAGCCGCAACACAGAAAGGTAGGAGACTAAAAAATTACACTGCAACATGATTCCAAGTAATTTGATGTTAAATATTATATTAAGTGTTTTGTTATTAGATCGGAATTGGAGGGGATGGACAAAAAATCTCACAACACAAATGCCATTGGGGCCGGCTCTTCGCCATATGAGCAAGTGTGTCCAGTCGAATGCGTTCATCGTCCATAGGACCCCAGCCAGGCAGTCCGGATGCACCAACCGACGCCAGCTTCGAAGTGAGGGCTTTCATTTCTCTCGACCAAGTCATCACTTGGCCTCCCCTCCGGGTGGTCTTAGTTGACCAAAAAGAGACTGATGTTCAAATAAGGTCAGCTTTCATCAACAACACAGGCTTTTCTACTTAACCCGATAAATTTAACTTCCCTCTGAATAAATTCGGGCTCTCTCCTACTTTCGTTTCAGCTTTCATTAGCTTATGCGTCTCCAAGTTATCCTTGTGAACGTATTCGCCATATGTGAGTTACCGAAAAAAGATCTCTTTGCAACCGTGTTTTCCTTCTTCGACTACGGAAAATATTTTGGTCAAGAACTTACGTTACCTAGAAAATCGACAATCCCTTTGACACCCGTTTACTGAATTTTTTAATTTTTTTAACATGGGTATTTAGAAGATACGCCGGTCAACGTGGGAGAGCTATTGATTAGAGTTTCATGTGTCGCTGCGTACGTCAACACTCGCTTTCACAGTGCAACATCGGGTTCACGCACTACAAGTTTCCAAGCTCACTCGATAACCACACAAATATCTGTGTGCTTCCTCCTCTAGTTATCGCTCTTGGTCGCATATCCAAGGCACCCACTAAGCGCATCAGCACAATGTCTAAGGAGACGGCGATATAGGATGGTTGATTATGATGCACATCTACAACGCGGCGATGCGACCTGTTTTATCATGTGGATTAAAACTTTATCCACTACGCAGTAAATATATTGACAGACTGACTGTGTGTTACCACCACGACGTATTGAGCTTGTAGTGTGGACGTTCTGAAAGACTTACCAAAGTTTGAATGTTTTTGCCACAGACCCTATGGTACCACAATGAAATGTCTGTCGACGTAAGCGACTGGGTCATATACTGCGCGGGAGTGTCGGCTAACCATCTCATCTCCTATTGTTTGTTAACGCTGCACCCATTTTGGCGAATTCCCAAGGTGACTACGCGATGTGTCTGATCTGGGTTAGTGTGTGGCGTATTTATTTTGCAGATTTCTGAATCAACCACTGCAGTATTTAGAAATTTTATTGAACACAACGCATTTTATGGGGCTCCTGTATTCAATACCGTGTTTCTAGACCTCTACTTCCCCTCTCTAATTACTGTTCTCTCCTGTCCCGTTTATTTTCTCTCTTTTTACTCCCCGTAATTGTCGTTACTTTTTTTCTACTCCTTGGTGACTTGAGTCAAGGTAACTGCATTCAACATGCTTTGGAGCCTACATCATATTTGGCAACTTCGGATGAACGGAGCACGTTTGGTTTCCGATAGGTTTTGTGTATTACTGGTATATTCTGCAGGCTTCGTCATAGCACAACTTCCCTGTTTACGCATTACTTAAACGCAAGATCCCTGGAGCGGTAATATCGCGCCGAGTCAGTGGTTGGTAGGCCGAACATCAGCGGGCAACACCTTCAACGCATGGCCGATAAGACTGCTTATCCACTACAACTCAGACACCCAGGCAGCCAATAAATTGCTGGGACTCCGCTGATACACCGGCCCATCAAATAATGCATTAGTGTGGGCACCATTCTGAAAGGGTGTTCGCTCATCGGTTTTTACACTGACGGGAAAACAGAGAACGCTTGGGAATTACGAGACTAAGATAACCGGTACGCTTCCTTGCTGGGACAACACCAGATTGACTAATAATAAAGGGAAATTCCTGTTTCAATTGACTAACATGTGCCGGAGTAGCTCTATCTCTTTTTCTACATGACTTCGTAGCACAAGATTAGAATTTTTCACCTAATAGTTTAACACCGTTTATATTTATTTTAGCGTTTTTGGGACGATGTTCTTGTCACTCCACTTTCAAACAACCTAAAGCACATGCATTCCGATGGAGAATTCTTGAGTGTATTTCGGTTTTTGTCTGAAAATTTTTTACAGATCCATTATCATCTGGATCCTATTTACCTTGTTCTCCTGCATCCTGATCCTTTATTCAAGGTACACGAAGGTGTGCTGCTCGTTTTGATGGTTTTTCTGATGTAGATCAGGTGCTTTGTAGCACATTATATGTGGTTGTTGCTACTGACTTTGTGCCTGTTGTGCACTCCGATCCGCTGTTAGCAGTTGACAGTTACCTGCGGAGTTTTAATTGGAATGTGATGGAATAAAGTAACTCGATCTCGATTATTCGGGCTCCACTTTGCGCCCCTCTTGCTGGTCCTGATCCCAGGTCTAGCGAATAGTTTACTCATTGAGAGGAATGTATATTTCTCCACTGTGCGAGCTACACTCTAACCATTTAGACTGCTCATATGGTGCAACATCATCTCAAAATGTAGATGCTATGCCTTTCTGTCTTGTTTGATTTTCATACCTTGTTCCTCCAGGTACCAGTATTGCTAAACTTTTGACCACTGATGCCATGGTGACAGCACCACGTGGAATCTCACGCTCATGTTCGTCTTCATGTGCTTTTTCAGAGGATGAGTCAATGCAAGGCGATGCCGCCGATGTGGACTTAGAAGCACCACAGCTGTTCACTCCACCCCGAGACGACGCCATCCTGACACTGCGTGGACACCGAGGTGCGTCTTGCGTCTCTACCTCTTTTCGTTACATCCGTTACGCGCAGTGGCTGCTTTTCAGCCCACTTAATCTTAACTGGCCATATATTGTCTGAGTACCGCAATGCAGTGGATGCAGTTGCGGTGACTTTCCTTATCGTACCAAAGCTCCACTGATAAGTAACTCGGCTTAAATGACCATCATGAGTTGTAAGGAACGACAGCTAGAATCAAGTGGTGCCATAGAAAATTCTTTTGACTCGTCGACTGTTCCGTTTTGGATTGTCTCCAAGAATGGATGCCGTCGCTCCCTGAGTTGCAATTGGGAAAAGAGCTCTTTCATCTTTCACTATATGCTTGGCGGTAGCTCTGAGACTCCACTCCGTTGACAAATGAATATAGTATATTTATGCTTGTGGGAAGCTGACTCCACGATGGGCCAGATCATTTGGTGCAAATCGTACTGATGCATGAAGATATGTACAAATTCAAGTATCTGGTCAACTGATCCTCTTTTCAGTTTCGCTTCAATGCCAGCTGCTGCATCCGAGCCATATTGTGCCGATAAATAGTTGCATACTCCCGGCTGTGGATGCGCTCGCTCGTTTTAATCTTAAAATACATTAGTTTCACTATTTTCGCATTCTGGTCTTCTCGCTTGCGGATTGTCCGATTCACTATCCTCTCCAGAATTTCCAAGAATTCAGGCTATGTAAGAACAGAATGAATAAAGCATTTGCACACACACACACAATATGCGCTCACACGGACGTGCCTAGTACGTACACTAGCCAACGCAACTTATTCAGTGCTACCTACTGTTCTCAAAAACCAGCCTTACCGTCATCACATAATACTCGTTTACGCACATCGTCATTGCGGACACGCTAGTGCCACCCGACAGCATCAACTTTCCGCGAGCAGAGATGATCAACGATCGAAGGGGCCAATTTCTACTCTCCTAGAATAGAGCGGCCCTCATTGTAGCCCTTTATACGACCTTCCATACCGATTGAACCTCCGTTTTGAGACAACAGATGTCAAAGTTCAAAAAGATAATCCTAGGTTTTGCTTCTTTAGTTTTCGTATTTTTCATACATCTTATCTTTTGTATTGTGACCCCTTAGGTGAACTGCGTTTATTAACTTCATATAAGGTGCACTGAACTGAGCTTTTACGATACGTAAACGGACTTCCACGACTGCTGCTGCTACTGTTGTTGTTTAGTGGATGAACTATTAATTCGCACAACCACAGGTCTCCGGATCATTAAGCGCCTGGTGTTTCCGCGACATCCGCTTGCCCTTTGAGGGTGCAGGACGCATACCTGGGGCTTATTGAGGATCAAGTTGTCATCTTACCATCGTTAAACAGTAAGACACTATTATCCGCATAAGGCGGTTCGACTAGTTTTTCACGCGATAGAACCGCAACGACGCTTGCATCTTTGGAATTCTCCATGATACGTTCCGTGACCGTTTAACATAAAAGTGGAAATTGGATAGCCATGGCGAAACCCACTTGTCATGAAAAAGACATCCGACAAATCAACTTACGGTCATGGGTTTACGATGGAATCACGTAGAAGTCTGACGTTTTCAGCCGGCTTTCTTTTGGAAACATGCTTTCTTAACAGCTGCTGGGTGTTATTGGCTAACTGTTCCATGGTTTGCATTGCTTTCCGAGATTTGTACTACCTTGTCGGCTGCTGGACTGAATGACTTAGGACGATAAGTGCCGCTACTGCTTCTTGACCTTTGTCTTGATTGCTGGTTGCCGAGGATGCTACTTGGTTATTTCTCCGACAGCTGTTCGACTAATACAATAAAGTAAATTGCAAGTCACCCAGCAGTACGCATTTGGCATTCTAACGATTTATGGATTGAGTGTCATGTGCTTGTCTATGACGCCGCTATTTTCTCAATATCGAGGAGACGAACAATGATAAATCTCTGAACTACCCATTATTGTTTTGCATGAGTGCTGTCTGCATCCATACTGCGGAATTGCTTTTTCCCGGTACATCTCCACATCTGCTTGCATATTTTCTCTTCAATTTCCGCATTAGAGAGTGTCTTTTGTCTGGCAGTCGATCCTCTCGGTACTTACATCGCCTCTGGTGCTCAAGATCACACCGCCATCGTTTGGGATTTGAAGACAGGAACCATTGCGTTCACTGCTGAAGGTAAGGTATTCCATTCCAATACCGTCCGCTTCGACTCACTAGTGTGCGATGCGTTTCTCCTTTTACATTCTAGGTGAATTCTTGCCGCTTTATACTTTATAGCTGGGAGTAGTGGCGATGTCACTTTTGTGACATTACCTAGTTCTGCTCCTCGGGGCGGTGTCTCAGGAATCATTCTCGTGCTAAACACGTACGCCAACATTTGCCTCGGCTCACTCATTTTACGACGTTCAGACACTGTTGATCGGATAGAGAGCATCAGCTCTTGTACTCCTCCAAAGCATTACTGCATGTTCCTTGACTTGTAATTGTTCAGCCTTGCTGTTCGGTGCGAAATCATTTTCAAGGATCTCTGCAACAATCAAAGCGGGTGACTGTTTGTAAACCCTACCCTACCAGCCTGCGGAACCTTCTACCCACACTGGGGACAAGTCATTTACCAACGGTAGTGTTCTATTGCAACTGAAAGTTAAGACAACATGCGATCTGTATTTTATGGCGAACCGAAGTTCGCCAGCTAGATATTATTCGGATTTCACATGTTTTTCCTTGCTGTAGACGTGCTTGCCCTTTGTCGATTCCCCCATGGAACACCAGCCTTTGCTATTTCCCAGGGTCGAACACGGTGGTGTTAGTTGCTCATATCTTTCTCGGTTTCATTGGTGGATGATAGAAGCTATGGAAAACTAAGCGTTTCTACGGTTATGCACCCCTGTGACCAATCCTGCTTACAGTTTCAGGTTTTGGGTTATTCTCTTAGCTGCATAATTTTGTTGCGGACGTTTCATCACCAGCCGAGATTACTTCGTCAGTGCATTACTGCATAGTGAACGATCTCGATGTGTGGGTTGTCGACTCTGGATTGGCGGGCAGGTGACTGAACTTGACCTCGATTCATATCCCGTGACCACCACTTGTTTGTCGTTCAGGCACCACCTCGGTCTCATGTTGTGGTTTATGATCCACTTAGTTTCTTTATTTCGTGGTTGTTGATACGCCGTATGTCTCTGCGCAGGTTTGTTGCATGATGGTTCGAGGAATTCCCTTCCTTTTCCTGTCTACATGCACTAATACCTCTGATCCCAATCAAAGTGAGGAGAAGGAGCATTTTCAAATGGGTCTACCTACGTGCGTAGGGTGTATGCAGATCCATAACGGATCAGTGCCCTCGCTTCCCATCAATGAATGATGCTGGACGCATGTCACACGTATCGGAGTAAGACCTGCGTGAATTCTACCTGCAATCGGGTATTGCCCCTTCCTCTGTACATTTTCTCAGCCAATTGTATCCATAGCGCTTTCAAATTCCTTCTCAAGAAAATCATATTCATTCATAGATCTATCAATATAGTCCATAACGCTATCAATTTGCATCCAATGGGCGCAAACGCTTCTAACAGGCGTACCGTTTGTTGAGTAATCAGTCCCTAACCAGCCGATAGTATAACAGATGAGTTTACAGTGTAGAATGCTAGTGACTGATTTGGGGGTGGTCACTGGGGGGGGGGGAGGTTCGCGCCCGTTAGCTGTAATTTGATAGCGTTAAGAACCGTCTTGCGAGATCGACGGGGAAACATGAATTGAAGGCGCTATGGATATATTTGGCTATGAAAAGAATCAGGCGGTTCATCAGCACAGCAATACATGGACGAGTTATGCTTCCGTCGCATATTAAAGCTGCAGCAATTTTTTCCCTTCGATAAACAAGTCAGTGCTGCTATTAGCGAAGGCTGCTCAAAACTAGCTGCAACAGTGTTGTGCGGTGTGACCTCTTCCGATCGATCGGCGAAGTAGACTGAGTAGCCTACTGCCTTCAGTGGCAACTTTTCCGTTGGTACTCTTACTTTTCAATCGCGGTGTCCGTGTTCAATAAGCCTGGATTATTAATCTCACATCGGGTCATTACCAATGCTTACGGAATACTGTTAGTTGTCAGTTACCTTCTGGCCTTCGAGTTCTTGACATCTCTCACTTGTTGGAAATGGGTGGGTGAGTTTGTTCATTCCAGTACAGTTGATTCGGAGACAATTGTTGACCTGGTTTGCAACGTTCCATTAACACTGATTAACTGAATTTCACGTATACAGAACACGTCCTGAATTCTCGAAACTATTACCGGACAATGTGTTAACTCAGTGGTGCGCGAGTACCGTCAGAACTCTCCAGGACAAGTGGAATTCTGCTACTGCTGAGAAAGACAAGATTACCCGTTACCTTCACTTACCTGGTGTCCGGGTTCACGACTTTCATCCTACAATTTTAATATCGAACATTAACCACAATTTATCATGCTCATAACAGAATAGTCACTGTACATAAAATTCGGCAGATTTCCACTGTCTTTTGGGATCGCTCCCACTTATGGAAAAAGCACCTCATTGCAGATGACAAATTTGGTCAAGAGGAAATGTAAAGAGTGATCTTATGACAAGTTGACAGGTTTCGTGTGCATCAACACAAAGCTGTCCAATCACGGTCTACCCATACTATATCTGTTTCATATGACAAACGTCAGCATAACCGATTAACTGGGACTCTCGCTTGCGCTTGTTTCCACAAGCTCATGGCACTTGGTGCAACATCTATTTAGCGAACACATAAACCAATTTGTCGCAAAGCTTTGCAAGCTAGACGAGCGTTCTTTTTCACTAATGCCACCATCCATGCTCGATTCCGATCGATCAGCTTATGGGGAGCTTAGCGACTGCAAATTGATCCACTGCCTTGATCACAATCCGCCGAGACATCTCGTTCCGCCCGGCATTACGTTGACAACGTCTCGTTCGGAATCATCCTACTGACCGGAAGAATAGCCAGTCACTACTTCCCCGGCGAATAGAGATTTTCATTTACTATTTGTTCACTGGCCCGTACTTATGCATCTTGACAATCCAAGTTCTTGAAGTGTTTCATTCCCTCCTCCAAAGGTCACGAGGACTCGGTGACTTGCGTAGCGTTCACCTCGGACGGACAAATGCTCGCCACAGGTGACATGTCTGGCGACGTTCGCGTTTGGCGTCGACCTTCTACTCCCAGCCCGGTTTGGAGCCTTCTACTCCATGAGCACGTGAGCGATTTACTCTGGTTCATATGGTGGAGTCCACCCTCTTCACACCGCTCCAAGGCGTCCGTCGCGGTGTTGGCCGCTGGCGACAATGATGGTTTGGTCACCCTCTGGTCGGTCTGTCCCTCGAGCACTGCAAGTGACGCGAAACGGGCGAAGTATATTGGAGGTCAGTTAACGATTCGATACGTTATATTCTTTTCCGCTCTGTTAAACAACTATGATCCGGTCACCGACGGATGGCAGGTACAGTTGCCACGACTCGCGTCACCAGAACAACGATGAATAACACTGCTGAGTAAAATGAAGCATAATTCAGAGATTAGTGAAAATGGACTTTGGAATAAGGTAAGTAAAATTGATCATGATGGAGTGTTAGCAATTTGATACGAAAATCCGGTTGCGGGGTCACCACTAACTACGCAACTGCGTCTCATCCTATGGGACTTCCAGCCACTATCCATCCCGAGGTAACTTTTTGCGACTATGGTACGCTGCATCAACTCGTGTAACTCTCTCGGTCAATTTCCTCTTGTCTATGTCACGCAATCGATTGGTTACTTCTCGGTTTCATTCCACTTACAGCGATAGGTTAGAATGCACGCCGGTAAAAGCAGTCAACTGACATTCAGAGAATATGACAGGCGGTCCAAATTTGACAGACATTCAAATGAGGTACCAGCTAATATATTTTTGAACGGGAGCGGGCGTACTTTAAGATTGCTCATCCGATGCTCCTTTCAGATGTGAACAACACTCCGAAGTACCGGTGACCAAAGACGATGAATGTCTCGAAGCGGCTAGTTCTTCTATCCTGTAAGCAGCTTTGTCTCATTGCTTTATATGTTACCTTCGACTGGTAGGCTCACATACCGACGTTATCACAAGTGATGGAGCATCGGATATAGGCCACACGAATTTTGCGAACGACTTAGCCTCCTCAGGGATATGACCATCAGATGTGACACAGCTACCAAGGCCAGTGAGCCCATAGACTGGTGGCGGCACTCGGTGGCGTATCTGCTTATTTACGCAACTGTACTTTGCACTGAAGATGCGCGGCAAATGCCGGAGCGTGCGGCGCTACGGATCAGTCTTTTTGGTTATGTTTGTCTAGCCGCTGCTTCCGACCCAAAGATAGCTATGTCGTCCGTATACTCAGGACTTTCAAGCCGGTTGTTTGGTAGAACTTCACTCTGGAGACGGACGGAGGCATTTATTATTGTATCTGTCACAAAATTGAAGAGTATAGGAAATATAAGACAACACTGGTGAATTCTATCTGTCTTGTAGAACTCATAGGACAACTTCCCGTTGGACATTAGCCCATTGAACCGAGGGAAATCAATGTATGTTAACTACATTGATTTCAGTAAAACTTTCAATAAAATGAACCGTGAGATCCTGCTCCACAAGCTGAAGGTGTGTGGTGTTGGTGGCGCACTGTACCAGTGGATCAATAACTTTCTTATTGCGAGAAGATGGCGGGTACAGGTAGATGACCACCTATCGGACTGGTACCCATCCACTAGCGGTGTACCCCGAGGCACAGTGTTGGGGCCAATTTTATTCCTGATCCATATACACGAAATGCCTCAGCTTCTTCGGTCGCCTTGTGCACTTTTTGCAGACGACTTGAAGATTTGGAGGGTTATTGATTCGACGACTATGACGTCCTTCAGCCGGACCTCGGCCGCCTATCCCGGTGATCTGCAGAGTTAGACCTACCGGTCAACCCGGTCAAATCCTCGCGTATGATCCTGGGGAAGGGTCCTAATGGGCGAGGGTGCACCCTGGCCGGCAACCGGCTGCATCTCAACAGTTCCGTAATGGATCTAGGCGTACTGTGATCTGAACTCTGTCGATAACACGAACAGACTTTACGGAAACTGACCACGCCTGCTTTGGGCACTTAGACGCAGCTTCTACACTTGGTCTGAAGAGATTGCCACCCGTCTGTTCTCTTCCATGATAAGACCTGTGCTTGAGTACGGCTCACCCGCCTATTGTCCAATCACAACAGTTGAGGTGCAGAGACTGGAACGGGTCCAGCATGTAGCTACCTGGTTCATCCTCCGTTTACGGGGTAAGTCGTACGAGGACCGATGTAGGAGACTAGAGCTGTATACCCTATCATACTGTCGGCTTCGAGTTGATCTCATAATGACGCACCGTATATTTCACCTGGGCCACTTTCCTATCTTGTGGCCGCTGCTGCACGTTCGCGCACCAAGCAGGACATGCGGACACCGGTACAAACTTGTGGTACCATGTTTAAAGCGCATCGCTCACCCTTCAAGCGTTGATTGGTGAAATATTGGAACAAGTTGCCGGAGACGCTAGTCGTGGTGAAATCTGTGTCGGGATTTACGAGATTCCTTGACATCCACTTTCCGGACTACATGCATAGGGAGAGTATCGCACCCGGATAAGATGAAGTGCAGCTGCAATATGCTTCCACTGCACAGGAATCAGCGACGTGATTCCGCTCATGTGCCCGATCCACCTACGATGAAGCAACACAGCTTTTTTCTCATTCTCTGATTTCAGTATTTAGTATTAGGATGAAGGGGAAACGACAGTATTCAGTAAATTCGTCACCACCGGTCTTGGTCCTTTCCCCCTGTGGTCAACATGCTAGTGCGGCTGCCCTTCTATATTATCAATATGATCGGTTCACTCCAGTTAGTTGGGATTGTTTCTTCCTTCCAGACTTGTGCTACCAGGACGGTCGAAGCTTTGCAGTGGACATCGCTACCATCCTTAAATGGTGGAGGTTCAACGGAACTCGTGCCAACAGCTCGAAAACCATTGAGGACCTTGATTGTATTTCGAACCTCAGCATTTGATAGGGCCTCTAAATTAGCCGACCGTGGTTCAGCCTGCACTACCTGAGATACGTCCTGGAGCAGTGGACCCACTGAACTTTTCTCGAAAGTATCACCTGACGCCGCCAGCCAGCGCTCCTTATTGTGGGTCAGAGCGTTCACACTGTAATTATCTCTCCGAGTCCTAGTTTCCTGAGAGCAGTGGTGCGGATCAGTTGGAAGCTCTTAGGATGATTGCCTTCTGCTCCCGAGTTGATCTAGAGACTAGGTCAGACTGGTTCATGACATTTTCGTAAATGGAGGCCTCAGGATGGGACATACCAGTGATTGTAGACCTCTTACGACATGGTACAGTCTCGGCTCACTGATACTCCAACCGTCAGTCTCCTGCATCTATCTAACTATTCAGCCTTGTCAATGCTACCAACTTCTCCCGACTCGCTTTTCTCTGCATTCTGCTTGCGTTGTACTCCATTTCCACCCGCTATTTTTCGTTACTGTTATCTTGCTTATAAGGTTATATCCGTTACACCCATCACGCTACAGTGCTTAAAGACAATAGATAGTGTACTGGGGTCTTCAGAGCTCAGTTTGTTAGTTGAAAACCTCATCGTATTTTTCAGAGGATTGATGTTGTTTAATTAGAAATACTGATCTGTGCTGTTCATGTTGTTAAGGTTGCAGGTAGTCTTGGGGAAGGGAACCTTGCGCATTATCGTCCATGGATGGAATACACACCCTTGTACGATCTGGCTGGAGGTTGGGCGCGGGAAGACCAGTGCTCATATAGTAGGGTTATCAGAGAAGAACGACTGACGTGTGACTTCAACCACCATAGTATTTGTGGTATTTTCCCGGAGGATAAATTGTTGGGTTTTGTCTCCGGTCGCAGGTAGGACATGTTCGCCTCTTGCGCTGGGCCAGTTCTGAAGGTCTAGTGTGTCAGTCTCTGTACTACGGCTGGAACCTTTAGCTCTGCTTTGGCTTTTAAGCGGGATTTATTGACATTGCTGAACTGCGGGCAATGTGCTCGAACCGCGATGTTCAAGGTGCACTCATTTTCCTTAGCTATCATGTCGCGCTTTTGATCAGTATAGCTTTGGTTTACTATTAGATTAATCCTATACGCTGAGGCGGACCGAAGCTCATCGATTACACCGCCTTACTCCCCAGTTCATGTTTTACCAGACCGGGGTTCATTTGGAGCGCCTTTATCTCCTCTTCACTATCCGTATTACTTGTGCTGTAGCTGTTAACGTACTGCCAGTCTCCATGCCCTACCCACCGACGTTCCGAGATCAAATTTTTCACACCGTTTGGCACATATGGCTCGCGGCCCCGTCTGCATTCGCAATCACGTTGGTCATCGATGCCTGACCGCAATCCCATTGCAAAGTGTGTTGCATGCACACATCCTTTGTTGAGGGCACCCAATCGCTTCAAAAAATTTACCGTACCACAGAAATCTATTCATTGCAGTCCAAACTAGGCAAAAGTAAACCAACTCATCAATGCATTTACGTACTTTTTACGGATTTGCTCGTAACTGTAGGGTCACTTACTTCGGCAAGATCGACAGTGCATTGGACTCTACTGAACGTGAACATTTATAGAAATGGGTTCAGGGTTTGATCAGTTAATTCTTTCTCTCGTCCTCATCAGTAGGCAGTGTATATTGTCAGTGCACCACCCACTTTCTTCTGCCTCAATGTTCCGGATCGCACCAAGTTTTCCTTTTCGCGGCATGCCTTGGCGGCAGTGGTGGGTTGCATTCGATCGGATCTGCGTGTCCAGAAACGACCACTGTCGAACTCCAGTAGTTGCGAGCCCAGAGCCATCGTTACCGGACCCCACTCCAAATGTCGTTCGTCTACTCACAGTCGAAAATTTATACAAACACCTCCGTTATTGTGCTTTCCCTGATGAGGCTGTATGAAATACATGCACTCTTCGGTACTTTTGCTCTCACTACGTTACTTGGTCTCGGCTGAGCCAGATGCATCACTAGTGACTCAGACTAGGACTGAGCGCAGCCTTGGAATGGTGATCCGAAAAGAACCCTAAGTCTTCTTGAGCGGTCGCGAGTTGGGACACTTTCGGTCTTATTGGATGATTGCGATTTGAGTCTTGTATTTGAGAGCAACTGACAAATGTCGGTTTTTCTGGGGATTCAGCTAAGTCAGAAATGTTTTGTTATTGTTGCCCAAGAAGAATAAAACCTTGAGAATGACAGTGCGCCCGACTCTAACAGTTGTACATTGTTTGCGTTGTGCGAATAACGCGTACGAAAACCGTGCGATTGTGTGTGACGTTAGTGAAAAGTCATCACTGGGTCTCCGATCATATCATAGTTATTGTTACCTCATCGCTTCTCCTATTGCGTGTCATTTCTTGACTGGTCCAACTTTACCGCGTACTTTGGCGATATCCCTGCTCAATTGCTGGCCTCGTGCAGAGTGGGCTACTGATTTTCGCTCGTCAACCTTTCTACCGGCCATCTTGCCATTTGCGTCACATCCATCCACGGATTCCACCCTCCATACTACCCATCGGTCAAGGTCCTCTTTTCGATAAGCAACTTTCAGGCTGGCCAGATCAAACCTACATCACATAGCGAGAGCGGTTTCGGTCCGTCTTATCGAATCGCTCGCTGCTGGGCACAAAACAATACCTCCGGTACTATTCTCCTACCGATTCTGTGGCCTCTGCATCTTTGCCTTCGCTGTCAGTTGATGTGGACCAGTTGACGTTGGAGTAACCAACACAACAATCCCATAATTTTCGGTAGTCAGATTTCTCGATTAAGATAGGCTGCGTGCACTTCATTTGAGATCGATTACTTGATTTGAAGAGCCAACACGGGATGTTGGTCGTCGACCATCCGACGACTGTCCAACTGCTACATTGCGCTCAACTAATCTTACTTCCTGTACTCATGCATGTTTATCATGCGATAACCTAGCGAACGATGAATAATGAGAGATGTGATTATTCCTTCGTGTTAGCCACCTAACAGTGTTTTTTCTCGAAAGCATCCGGTTAAACCGTTTGCGAGCTGCCATTTTGCCTGTTTTTACACTATTTATTACGTCGAAACATAATACTATACGAGTCACTCATGCTCCAACTATCGTTGTACTTGCGCCATCTTCATTGCCTTTGAATTCACAACTCGTTCATCTACTTGGGTGTCTAGTTGCAATTTACACGTTTGCCTACTACTTGTGTTGTTTTAGAGGACACACGATTTATTCTTTTGCCCATAGGAGTGGGAGTTGCAGCGTTATCGGGCATTTTCTACCTTCCTTCGGTTGATACCGATCGACCAAGATTAGTTGTTCTGTATCAGAACAGTGAGATTCGATTGTGGGACGTTAAAAGTGAACAATCCCTCACTTCCCTCACCCTCAAGACGGACAAGGATGAAACGAAGGAGTCGGAAGTATTCTGTCTGGCTTGTCCCCACGAGACCACTGCAAGGGATCAGGAGCTCCTCGCTGTGGGTGGTTTCGGGGCTATCTACATGGTTGTAGTCAAATATTCCCTTTCCATGGAACCGGAGTTCACATCAAAAGTTAGTTCTTCCATCCGAATATGCCGCGGTCTCCCAGGTGGCATAATATATTCTTATCACCTCAGCACGCTTTTTGTTATTTATTGGCAATAACTCGGAGATGCCTGCTCTTCTATACATGTTTACATATTCAAAATGTGATTGCTTTGACGTGGCAGTATTTTATCAACCCGCACATGTCATCATTATTTCAACATCACGCTCCATGACTTGTCTCATCCTCGTTGCAGTCCTTTTCTTTGAATCAACCGAACCTAGCACTCGTTATGGACCTAGTCATTACAGACAAACCTCATCGATATTCTACCACAGCTTTCAGTCTTCAGTATTTGTCTCAGAGTAGATTCATTTTGCTTCTCTAGAACTCGCTGTGTGTTTGAACTGCAGCATACAAACACAAACGTGCAACTGGTGGTGGTTGCGCGGTAGCGAAGCGTCGGTATTGCGTACAGGCGTACCGCTGATGCCTCCTTTTTGTATAAAGATATACTGCTTTTGTGATTATCGTTGTCAACTTATATGTGGATCGCGGCCAGCTACGAATGACTAATCAGAACGCGATTTCACATTAGTTACTAACCTCAAACAGTGTCGTGTCCCTCTTGTCTCGAATGCCAAGTTTTTCTCCGTACGTCTGGAAGCCTTGATTCTCGCGTGGACTACTGCTGCTCATCCTCAAATGCACACTTGTTGTGGTGTACGGCTTCAAGTCCTTTTTGAAATAAAATACTTCTGTTTGCTCGCTCATTTGATTCAACCGGTCACCTGGTCTAAAGTCTACACAGATGTTCGATTCTGAGCCTTTCGTAGGTCGTTTAGTTTGAGTATATTTTTCTGAAGAGAAAAAGGGCGTCAGCAATACACCGGTGCGCAGTGCTAACGCTTTGCTGTCACGCAACCACAACCATTCGCGCGTGGGCTGCGTGGGTTCCCTGGTTCCCATACACAGGCTCGAAGCCGCGTCGTCAGATTACAAGACAAACTCGTCACCTTTTCGCTACCGGCCGGCGGCTGCTTTTTGTCGTTGCTCACTGACGTAAGTTTCCACTTTCCAGAGCTTGACCACATTTGCCACTGATTCAATGGGATGATCGCCTCCCGGGGATGTGACCGCTATCTACTAACAACCATAGTGCGTTATTCGAATTTGTCAACAAACCGGTTGTACGGGATACGGTGCAGGCATTAACATTAATAGCTCTGATCACGTGCGGTCCCCACCGCTCTGCTCAGCGTTTTTATTGCTTTCCGTAATGTTTGCCTGTACTTGAAACTGTATACATTCACTTCGTACTGCCTACAGTCGCTATTCTCTTCTTGCTGGCACAATGCACTTTCCTTCGCTTGCTTGTGTGCCTTCCTTCCAGTGCGTAGCGGTGCTAGACACATCCGATGGCAGTTCAGTCGAGGCTCTTGACTTCTCTTGGACGTAAGTGCCTTTCACTCTGTAATTGTAGTTTGGCCGCTTTTCCATCCTTCTAAGTGTTGATATTATGCTTTTGTTTGTGTGTGTGTGTGTCTACTTTATCCTTTCAACTTGTGACGGAGTGGTGATTCATGCTTTCGGCTTGTAATCTGCGGTTCGTCGCTTTAAACGTGCTTAGATGTGGACTACCTTGTAGTTTCCCAACCAATGTACAACCGCCGGTTTTTACATAGCAACAAGGCGTCATTGTGTTGCTGTTTCTCTTTACTTGCACGGTCATACGCATGAGACGATTCCAAGAATGTTGTGCTGCGCTGTGCTGTATGCGACTGTGCTGCATGTGGATTTGTGACTCCACAATGGCTGTTGGATGCAGGCCAATCCTCCACTATCATTAATATCTGCTAATCTAACTGTTACATATCACTTTCCAGTTAACTAAATCCATAAGTGGGTGCAGTTCATCCGATCAACTTTCTCTGTACCGCAGTCATGGTTGCTGGTCACGCATTCTTACTGCTTCCACGGGCAGGTACACGTCGCGGGCGCGTAGATCTCTTTGAGTGGCTAACCCTCATCCACCAATAAGGCGGCTGATGCCCATGAACCTACGCTCACATGGTGTTACTGTGTATCTCTCCATTTCGAACATGAGCACGAGCCTTGTGGCTCGCGAGTACCGACCGGATGTACACCTAGGATGTGAGTCTATCTGCGCATTGATACTCATACTCAGGAACGGCTGACTACGCTGAAGTGGCGTTAAGTTTAACTTGATTACAACACCGTAACAAGAATCTAGTGACCAAATTGCTGACTGCCATTCGGACAGCTATTGATGTTCTAGCACATTGACTTTGAGTGCTTGTCGTTACATGTTAGAGTGGATGTGCGCCGCGGACACCAGTGCGCACGCGAGCGAGCTCAGTGAGAGTAACGCACTTTTTAAAATGTCATTTTTGGCATTAGATTATCGTAATTTGTATAATTTTTCTGATCGACCTTTCAGAAAAGACACTAATCCCTATTATTTTGAAATCCTTTTGCCCAATCCAAGTTTGTTTTTATTAGTTCAATGCTTAAATCACCTTTTAGAACGTGCCCCTAAAATAGGATGCCAGCAGAAAATCACTTAAGGTGCCGGGTCTTAGTGCCTTGGCTCGACTCAATTGTGCTTGGTGGCGCTTTAGCCTGCGCGCTGTGGTAATGCTGCTATAGATGTGTGGGCGGGCACTGAATTATGCGCAGTTTAGGCTTCTTTCCTCTTCCTACTCTTCAGCACCCTGCACCTAATTTTGACCGGTTGGACCATTGAGAGTTCCTAGCAGATTATTGGTGCTTGATGGCAACGACTGAATGGGCGATTCCTGTTCTTTTGATAGACGCAACACTGGTATGAGCAGGTTACCAGACGATTCAAGATACATCATCTCATTTGATGCATCGAGCCCAGTGATTATGTCTGGCGCACTCGACTCCCTTTAGAAACCATCTATCGCTAATTCTGAAATTTCTCCTTGGAGGACCTCGACAGCGTTTAGTTCACTAGCACTTGTTTCAAGAATGTGGAGTCCAAAGTGCTATGTTACTCGCACTCGATTACTCAGTCCAGCAATCAGCAGGATAACCCATCGATTTATGTTGGTAATCCTCGTTTCAATACCAGATTCAATCATTGGATCATGGACTTGTTAATTTCTCACTACGCATGATGTCTCTTCATTACCAACGCTACATTTCGAAATCATGGCTGTCGCGGACCGTCGGGATCCCCCGAAGTTGTCCCGCAACGCCAACTCAGCGACACGTGCGCAAAACTCCCTCGGGCACCATTTGTGCTAGAACACCGTAGTGCACCTTTGAGCGGCAGTCTGTCTCAATCGGCTGGAGCATGTAGAAACAGTGGCCTCACGACACATAGAAGCAAAAACATCCGTTGGTTTCATCCACGGATATGTTAATAGAATTGAAACAACTCACAGGTCCGTGAAATACACATAACCAACGTCATTCTCTCTTGCGGGACCTTTCTTGCCGACAGCAATGTTGTGTCACACAGACTCTGGCTTTTGACTCGACCCAATCCAGTGACCACATGCTCCCCTGGCTTTTTCGGAGTAGGGCTTCAGACTCTCTTTGGAGCAACTCGGGATACAGCCGCCTGAAAACTTCCTCTACATACGTGTCCCTCTCCGTTCAGTTAATTCATTAACTTCCGGCATCGTAGTAGCAGTACTACTCGTAAACGACGATTAATAGAAGCAAACAGCGCAACCAAACCTGTGGATGTTGATTATATAGCAACCAAATGAAAAAGTCACTCCTGTAAGTGAAAGATCAACACAGGTGAAAGCCTTTTATCGAGCATGGGGAAGTGCCATTGGATCCGCAGCTATTACATGTTAGGCAATGTAGCTGGATTTATGTCATATCATCTGGGTGCATAATGCCATTCAATCTCTTCATACCCTTTTACTGTATCACCCATTGCTCACACTTTAGCCTCACCCAACTAGGTCTATCAACGGCCATCAACACACGCCGAGGTAAGTTGCTTCATAGGTGGACAGATATGACAAGCAGACGCTTCATCTGCTTGCCCAAACAAACAAGGAAAGCTACTTTGAATTCGTTTTTGTTGTAATCAATATATTTGTATTCAGAAGAAATGCCAAAGTAGCCAGCTGGCTGCCGTTTGTTCACCATCTGCTATCCAAGTCTGCTTGACCCCAGACCCTAGTGTCGCCTCTGCATCTATCCATTAAGCAACCATGTCCCATCTGTCTGCCCACACTGTGCACTCACTCTATTGTCCAGTGTACAGGGTGTTTTATTAATCATGTCCGAAGCTAGGAGCGGCTGCACTCAGGTGCTGACGTACCCCGGTACGCTGAATTGCTAACTGTCCAATGGCGCAAATTTCATTGCCGGCAGGAGTGAGATGGGGCACAGAGGCGCGACATGTATGTCTACGATCGCAGGGCACACCGAGCCGTTCGGCTTTGAGAAGTGAAAATTGACAAACGCCGCAGCCGCAATCGACCTGTCATGCGTGGATCGCAGGGCAAGACCAAGGGAACGCACGTCGTTCGGCTGTGAGAACTGGATATGAGCCAGACACCACAGCCGCACTGAACGTATCATGCTTCGATCGATCGGTAGTCGGCCTTCACGCAGGTGAAAATGCCAGCAGAAGGGTTCCCTGCGAAGTTGTTAGGGCTTCAATGTGCTAGCGATGGAGCAGGAGCTTACACCCGCGTCGTCGATGTATCAGCAACCGAAGTCACGTAATATGCCGGTCCATCAGCGCGTGGTCATTGTGCAGCTGTGTGGTGAGTGTGGGGCTGATGCGGCGGAAACCGCAACGCGCTATTATAGTATGCACTGTGTTACGCGGCCAATTAACGAGCGGTATGTGCGTCGAGTGGTAAAGAAATTTACAGCATATGGTAGCGTTTGCAACATCAAACAAAGCGGAAGGCCTAGCACCGTCACGGATGAGGTATCAGCTTGCGCGGTTGCGCGAGGTATGCAGTAACAGCCATCAGCATTCGGCAAGCTCGTACAACATTGCGAAACCACACCGTATGCTGTGTATCGGATATTAAAGGGAAATATTTTTGACGGTACAGTGCACTACGGGTGCAAGTGTTTAACGCATGCGTTTCACTGAGATACCAGAAATTCGCCTGTTTGTTTTTAAACATCCTGGACTTACATTCCATTTTATTCACCGATTAGGCTGTGTGCCCTCTGCATGGCGAAGATACGCAACATGTTTGGACGACAACCAACTCACCGCAATGTAGCGCTTCACATGTGCAACATAGCGCGAAGCTCATGGCCTGGGCTGGGTTGACTGGTCGCAAAATCATTGGGCCCTTTTCTTTTCCAGGAGTATGTCCAGCAGGTTCCTGTTTAACAGTACCAATGTCTGACATTTCTTAGCATCCTCGTACATGGAGATGTTGCAGAGCAGCGTCATTCCGCAGCCACAGTCGGAAGGGTTAATGAATAACTTTTGGTGGCATCTGGATGGCGCACCTGCACATTCGGCGCAATCAGTTTGTGCCTTCCTGAACGAGACATTCGGTAGATGTTGGATCGGTCGCGGAGGATCGATAGAATGGTCTACGCGACCATCAGATCTGAATCCCATGGACTTTGTCCTATGGGGGATACTTGAAGTGCAGAGTTTATAGAACGAAACCCAACAACATGGATGAACTGAAAGAGAACATTGTGAACGAATGTAGACAGATTTCGTTCGTGACATGGCAGAAAGTGCTCGCCAACATCATCCGGCGAATGCTCTTCTGTAGCTAAATCGACGGATGGCACTTCGAACATCTAATTCGTTGCTATTTACAGACATTTCACATATCCCATGTAAATATAAGTAAGGAAATGAATAAATGTATATTCTAGAATGTACATGCGAAACACCATCGAAGACCCGATCAATTCATACAACTAGCAATTGTCTGACTGTGAGGGTAATAGTTGTATTCATAACTAAATTGGTCTGCTGTTTAATGATGCCACCAGTGCGTCGGGGAAGACTGAGATCTAAGAGCATTATCCCGGCAAGTCAAGTCAAGAATTCGTTTTTATGTACTCATGAAGAGTGAATTTGCAGCTGTAACACACACGCGATCGAAACGATATATTGAACAACACTGTAATTTTACAATGTGCTCCTGACAGTATGATTCCCTTTAGCAACGAAAGCAGCCTAATTAAAGCTTGCGGGTTTGTTGGAAGCCAATCATGAGGCGATAACAGCTTTTGTGGCGATAGAAATGCGGCACCCATCGACCGGTCATCACATACCGCCAGGCTGCTTTTCTCAGTTGCTAGCACTGCGCCTCACTAACCACTTCGCAGGGAACCCTTCTGCTGGCATTTTCACCTGCGTGAAGGCCGACTGCCGATTGACCGAAGCATGACAAGTTCAGTGCGGCTGTGGTATCTGGCAAACGTTCACTTCGCACATCCGAACG